CCTCCAAATCACCCCTCATCTTTCTTGAGCCGTGGCCCTCGTTCCCCTGCAGCAGTATTTGCTTTACCTTTTGTAAGTCTGGATTGCCTTGTCATTTATATCCTTCCTGAACTTCTCTGTGGTAATATGCAAAGGCTGAAAAATCATGCTGTAAGCATATGGAGAAAGGTTTGTAAAATGCACGATTAGATGATTAGTCAGACTGCTGAAAACCTTATGCAGGAAGCAAGGATTTGAGGCTCCCTCCCTTGCAATGGGGTTTCAGAGGTGAAGCATTCAGTCCTAACATGGGAAACCCTTTTGCTTACTGCTACCGTATTGCATCCTCCCCTACAGAAGTCCTTCTGATATTTCTTGGGCACCAGAGGGCATATTTCTATTAACAGACTCAACAGCAAGTGAAGGATTCAGCACTCAGTCCTCTATTCATCCCCACCGGTGATGGCTGGTGCAGCACCCGAGCATTCCCGAAATGGATCCCGCAGGACACGCGACGCCGCAGGATGAGCATTTCCAATGTCAACAAAGTGAACAGGACTTCTCTTTTGCAAGGGGACACGTCACACCCCACACCCCCTTTCAGTATCACAGTCTTCAAAATTACTACATCACAGCTTTGTTTTAATTGACACTGAAAACCCGTTTTCACTGTGCCCTTTAATACTGAAGGTGACTAGAGTAAGTCTCTCTATAAGAAGCAGGTGTAAGAAACTAGGCAAGAGAAGAAGGGAAAGAAGAACCCACGCCGTTAGCTGTCTGGTATTTATTACTTTTAATACAGAGAAGTCACAACAAAATATTCTCTAACAACACACGCAAATGATATCATAACCAATTATTTTAATTTCATCAACATTCATTTGCTATGTACATATTCTTCCATCTGCAAAAGTGCAATCCAAGAATGTCTCAACAAGAAATCTTTATGGACAAGTATACTTTTGAGGGGTTTTCTCACCAGTGGCCTTACAACAACATGTTTGTCCTCGGTTACCTGGTACAGCAAAATGTTCACGGGGGAAAAAAAAAAAGAAAAAAGAAAAAAGAAAGAAACTGGGTTAGGTGCCTCCTTTGTAGTAATATTCCCTATTTTCCCAACTAAATTAATTATGAATACACTGCTCACTACTGGAGATGTTAATGCAAATAGACTATAAGATAGCCTATGGGCTCGCTATAGAACGCTGTAGTTTTAAATACTCCGCAGCATTAGACAGAACAGGAATTTCAGGCTCATCACCTCGGTAGATGTCAAATTACACATCAGCATGTAAAAGATGTCCATTGTGTTAGTTACAGTTATCAAAATTTACTTTTAAACATCCTACTGATGGATGAATTCATTTTTACACATCCAAAATATGAAGTCTATCTAAATGCAAGCCTCTCCTATGGAAAACAGAGTTAACTACTGGAAAGAAAAGCATTTGCACATGCAACTCCTATTACTATCACAAGGAGTATCGTGCACTTAAGAAGAGTAGAATGAATCTCCAAATCCAGAGGACTGTATTCTCGTTTACAAAACATATTTCAGGCACAATTTAATCTGACCACAGGCCAGATTTAAAAGAACACACGGCATCAGAAAAATGAAAGGTAACAAAGAGTTAACTTTAGCCAAACAAGCAAAGCAAGCAGCTCCCTAGCTAGGGAAATAATTTCCCTTTTGACACATTTAAAAGCTCACGACTACTTCCAGTGCTCGTCAAGATGGACAGCAAACCAACTGCGGTCTAGTTTAACCTCTGAAGTAGCCATTAGGTCCCAAAGAAGTTACCGCTGCCTTTGTACTTATGCAAAGCCCAGCTGAAACTCTCATGGCCCAAGGGTGGGCCCGAGTGCTTGACTGGAATCTGATGCATGTTACAAAAAATACCGCATTTGCAGTAACCCAAGACCAGTTTTCAGTACCAGCAAGAAGCAGGGAAAGTGTTCTCTACAAATTAGGGCAATTTACTTTGAAGCAAAAGTTCAGAGGAATATAGTTCAGCTGGTTTCCATCGAAGATCATTTTTACAGTGCTACATATGCTGCTAGCCTCCAGTTGAGAGATGTGTTTTGCAAGAATAGGCATTTCCTCAAGCAGTACATAAGACTCACTTAACAGCAGAATTAAAAGGAAAAGCTGATGGAGAACTAAATTGTTTTCTTGGATAGATTTGTATGTAACTCCTTGTCACTGTTAAGACTTTAAATATGCTTTCCCCATCCCATTTTCTCAGTCTGCTGCATTCTTGGTTTTGACTTGAATATACTGTATGACCTTTAATACACTTGTGTTTTTAAAGCTGGCCAAATTCCCTTTTTCCATGTCTACTCATTCTCCATTGTCATACATACATGTCTGGAGAGGCATCTAAGTACTTAAAGAACAGAATTGTAAGTTAAGCTACTCTAAGGAAAGCAAATGAACAAGTATTTAGAAGGACTCCAGATCCCACTTCTCCTCTACCACGTGCATTGTACAGTGACACCTCCCCTCGCCAAATGAATGAAGAAGTGGGTACGCAACACCATGTAGCCTGTGTGGGAATCAACACTCTAGACACATGGCATGAGTGACTGGCACTCAAGACCAAACACTACAGTTACAGATGTATCCTTTAATTTTTCTCATTACAAGAGCTTTGTCTTTGCTGTGTGATTTCTGTCAGCTGGAACAGCCTAGCCATTGCCTATCTGGTCTGGTTCTGCCAGGCAACTAACTCCAAACCTTGTTAGCCACCCTAACTCCACCAGGTTGCTCAACGCACCATCAAAGCTGAAGGGCCCATCCTCCCTGAGGAGTTAATTCAAATTACAACTTGATTGTTCTCCGTCTACACTGCACAGCTAACCAGGTTTTATCTGCTAGACACCTTCTTCCAGCCCAGGTATTCCTGGACCAGCTCCTGTTCCTATGGACAACAGTTACAGTGCTGCTCCCACTGCAACTGGGCTTGGTGTTAATTGGTTTGTGGTAGCCACCCCAGACCAGTGTTAGAAGTCCCCCAAAGTCCTTCCCATAATTCTCCTTAAAAAGGAAACAGGTTTTCCCAAAACTGTCACAAACAGGGAACAACTGTACAAAACCCCAAGGATGTGCTCCAGACCCAAAACCAAGGACAGGAGCGAGGACAGAAGGAAGGGAGCACCAGTGATGAAGGCTACCACAGCCTGCTAACATCATTGTTCAGACCAGCAGTGGATCGGCAGTGTAACTGCATGGGATAGACAGTCCAGATGTGAAAACCATTAACGTGAGCTGTCTGGCTTCTAAGGACATTACCACTCAAGTTAGCAGTAAGTGATCTGTGCCAACAGAAGCCCTCTGTGCAGCTCGAGTATTGCTAGAAGAGTGGCTAATGCTAAAAGGAGCTAATTCTGCAGCGAAGACAGCCAGGAAATAAAACGGTGAACTTGGCATTTTTATGCACAAACATGGATATTCAGTTCGAGTTTTATGTGCACATTAATTTCTTAACTTAGCAGAAAGCGTAATTCTCAGTCCAGCATATGAAACGCTGTTTTGGCTTCTGACTTTTTTGTTTTCTTTCCCAGGGTGGGAGAGTATCAGGGTCATTTTCAAGATCATGATTTCAACAGATACACTCCGATTCTGAAAAAAGATTCTAATTTTGGAAAACCAAACAACTTCAGAAGAAACAAAAAATAATCCCACCTTGTAAACAGAAACAAAACCCACACCTCTCGATTGGACAAACACTCCATAAATACACTATGAAGAAAAGAAAAAAAAACACCCTCCCCTAAATCTCAATTGGCTTGAGAAACCAAGCAAAAGATTAATGACCTATTTTAAAAATTTTATTTAAGAAAGGGAGAAATGGGAACCAAGAAACAACAACCGCAGAGTCTACAGGTTCAAGCCCTCTGATAAATTCACTGCCTAATGCGTAGTCTATTATGTACAGCACAGAGGCATGTAGAAAGTAAATACGCTAAGTTTGCTTTCTTAAAAAGTCTCCCAAGTTTTTAGATCCTGGACTCAACACAATTTTGAAAGACAAAGGTGCAGCAATTAATTGTTTTAAAAAGCTATGCCATGTTTCGTACTCAGTACCTCTCAGCTCTTATAGGTCTGGCGGCCCAGATGCCACTTCGTGGTCCTCCTTCCACACCAGTTACACCAGTCCGTGGTAGGCAGCAAAGCCTCAGCCCCAGCAGACACATACAAACACATCCCCATTCAGCTCAGCATGTTCCTTCCCTAAAATGCCTGTGGAGAAACACCTTTAAATAAAGCATTTTAAGATCTCCAGCTTGTTTTGGTATGAACAGATGACCCGGCGGGCACATGACAGTCCCGGTGGAAGCAGCACTATTGCTGTATGGTCCATCAGTGAGGGCAACGCACATCAAACGCACACGGCAGGAAGACGCTATGCCAAAAAAAAATAATTCATTTCAAGATTGCATTTTCTGGCATACATTTACATTCACTTGTCACAATACCTTAGTTTACCCCGTCTCGGGAAATCTGAAAGAAAGCCTGCTGAGGCGACTGGCAGCGCAGGGCCAGCTCCTGCGCCCGTGGGAACCAATGCAAAAGGCTGAATGAATTCAGCAGTAACAGGACGGTTTCTTTGCAAGGATTTCCCATTTCCACCAAGCTGGAGGGACAACCTACACAATTACCCACTTTCTAACCGGACGTACTTCTCTGTCCTGTATGTCTCCCCACGCCCTTCCTATAAACTGTATTACAATTATACAAAAAAAATAAAACCAAATCATTTTTAGCTGAACTTTACCCCACACTTGGGATATATTCAAAGGCCATTAAATTGGCTTGCCTCCAACCTTCACAGAGATCTTGTCAGGAGGATTCTGGTTTGAACAACATGTATATATACATATTAATATGTACACAGACAAAGAAGCTGCTCTTTCAGTTAGAAAAGAAATTAAATTTCATCACAGAATGAATCCTATAAAAAGATATGTAATAAAGTTGAAATACCCATAAAATAGCTATTACTAAAGCAAAGCTTTCGTCAATAAGCCTCCAAAACTTTAAATGAAGAAAATGGCTTCACGAAGTGGTAGTCTAGATTTCCACAGTGAGGACACTGCTGGACGTTGCTGTATTCAGAGAAATACTGCATGCCAATCCGTACATCTATTACTGGCTTCCCACAGTGCTTACAGTTCAGTCGAGCCTGTAAAAAAACAAAGAAACAAACAAAAAAAAAACCTTTTGAAATAACCAAACTCGCCTCCGCTTCTCGCTTCTGAAAAAGAAGGCATCACACGCAGCCCCTGCCCTCCCCGGCAGGAGAGGGGGCAAGCAATGGGATCTGCTGGTAAGGACATTCCTCACCCGGACTGGTAACTCGCAGGCATACGCAATGTTTTTCACATGAAATACCACAACCAAATTCTGGAGAGTAAGCTACCTCCCACTCTGACTGACAGGAGGTAGAGAATTTTGAAGTTTATACACACACACACACGAATGTTTTGTGTTGATTAATCTCTGAACCAATTCCTCAATCCCCAGCACAAGAAGTCCCATCTCAATAAATCATTAATGAAGCCCTGAAGCAAAGAGAGAAATTTTACATTTGTACTGTGCAATTCAACTGTTTAGGTTGATGTTTGAACATGATCTGTCTATGAAATATATCAGCATTTTAATCTTTTGGCTTAACAAATGTATAACTCAATCTACTTTATCAGCACGGCATGGTATTGCATCACTTTAGGTATCTATTTAAACATTTATAATACATATCAGGTTATACAAACTAAACATCACTTCAAGCACACAAACCATTCTACAAAATCCAACTGAGAAAGGCCCAACATTAACGGGCTGGATATGAGAAATAATTAAAGGTCAAGGGTGAGGACAGACAGAACTATTAATGTTCAGCAGTAACAGAAAAAAGTAAGTCTTCAGAAGAAATCTAGCTCAGAAACCCAGCCCATTTGATGCAAAGAAAGCAAAAGGCGGTGTGAAAGCTCAGCAGGCCATTTGAAATACTTGAGAGAAGCAGAAGAGATTGAGACCATAAAGGAGTTTAAGAGTAAAGGCGGCAAATGAGCAGCGAGGGCCTGAGCTCTATCATAGCGTAACCTCACAGCCCAACTGACACTAATGAAAGCTTCAGCTCTTCACTGAAAAGAACAAAAAATGATTTTCTATGGCAATCTTGATTTAAGGAATTTTCCTGGGATGAGGAGAGGAAGAAATTATTAAAAGTACTATTACTGTTGAGACAAGACTCAAAAAGAAACAAACCATCAGCTCCACAGCCATTTCCTCTGCCTGAAAACCAGAAATTCTAGAAATACAACCTAGTAGGGCATGGATTTGTATGATTTTCTTAACCCAAGTGTTGTTTTCCCTCTTGCTACTGTCCAGCACATCAGCTAGCTGCTAGTAACCTGACAGTGGCTGCAGTTCCTTATCCTACTTGCACATTTGTGATGTATAATTAAATATTTTGAAATAAGGTATGAAATTATTCAAAATAGAAATTAGCAAGGCAATTCGGAGTTAAATTATATACCACATTTAAATGTCATTCCTCTGTATGCACAGAATCATCTGTAACAATCACGGTGAAACAATAATACGTATTATCTGGCAATCACAGCCACTGCAGCTAATGATTTCATAGTCACTTCTATTACTTACCATGTACTGTCACACTGTCCATTAATCATATAATTAAGGCTCTTGTATAATGAGACCTTAATTCTTGTCTTGTACATTCAACAGAAGCAATTCAGATTTAAATTTGCTGGCTTTTACAGAGCTAGCAAGTCAACACCACTGTTTTATCTTTAAAAATCCCTATTTCTTAAAAAAAAGTTACAGTCTCAAAAGGCACTAAATTTGGACGTACTATCTCTGTCTTTAGTTATAATTGCTACTAATGTCATTTTATCCAGTAGCAGTGACACCACATGTCTTTTGAGCAACACATTTTGGTAAATAAGTTAAATTTAAAATTAAATGGCATTTTGCATATTGACAAAACTATATTTTAAATTGCTCTTAAGCACGCACAATGCCACGAAGTGATCCTGCTTTGAATGAATGCATCTTTGCAAGGCTCCTGTTCTCCCCCAGTAACACCGCCTGCGTGTCCAAAGGCAACAGGGCGCTCCTGAGCATCCCGAGCGGGCCACTGAGCCGTTCCCAGACAAACGCAGCCCAGTGCTTTTCCCACGCGCTACCTGCACAACAAAAGCGCGCTGCCCATCACATGGGCAATTCTCTTGGATGCTGACCACCCTGCTGCCTCAGGCACGTGTCTACTCTGGAGTAACCCCAGGCCTTGGATCTTTCGCACCCAAGGTATAGATTAGGTGAGCATTTAATGAAAACTAAGCTGCTTCAAGCTGTGGCGGAGTACCATCATCAGAGTCAGTCGCAGCAAAGATTAAGGAGAGCTAGGTAATCTCCAAGCACAAAGACTCTTTAGACCTTTCCATTCCCTTGGCTTTTTTGCTTAATCATCTTACGATAAAACACAATTGAAGCAACTAAAAGAAAATTGAATACATGAAGCATCTGCTAAAACTGTGCAATTGTTATTAAGATACTACTGGAATTACATCTGATGCCAAACATACTTGCTAGTGATCATCCTAAGCATCAGATGTAATTGTGAATGCATTTAAAGGGGCTTTACTTAAAAACATAAGTATTAACCACTGACCATTGCACAGGCTTTTGCCTAGCTATAGGCCTTTGTGCCTCACCCGTTAAGACAAAGGGACAGGGACTCAGCTTTCTTGTATTGCACTCACAGGTACAGGCTGGAAAAGAAGGACGGAAGAAGGGAGGGGAGAAGAGAAACACAAACCTTGGCTTTACTTATCATCAGTTGGAAATTCACCTTATGAGCCTTATTTACGTATGGTACTAACCTGACAACAGGGAGATGCTGCCAGAATATCGTAGGTGTACATAGTTCCCAGCTGATGCCAGCTTCCATCCCATCGGGACTTGCACTTAATGCAGATAATTTTGTGAACCCCTTCTAAGCAGTCTACACAAACAGCATAGAGGTGCATAAGCCTTCCTGTGGACAGGAAACACACTTCTTAAGGAGACTGGAACAGAAGATTCAAACAGACATTTCCTGCAATGTGTTCTCTGCTCTTTAGTGATACAAATCACACCTTCTTAAAATCTTTTTTTTTTTTTTAAAGGATGAATGATAAAGTAAAAAATGTTTCTCTATGGGAAATACGTAGGGCTTGACTGAAGCTATTTTCCATGGGTGCCAAACTCAGGAATTAGTCATCACCCTGCCCACCCTCCCCTCCTCCATTTGCTGGTAGACCTTAGCAAAATATTTTATAAAAGGAGTTGCTGAAGCTCCATGAACAGATGCCAGGTTAAGCTATATGATCCGATGCAGTGTTTCCAAAACGAGGATTGTGCCCTAGCTTCATCCCCACCTGACAGAAGAAGCGGAGAAGTGTTGAAGCTTATTAGCAAGCTGGGTACAGATTCATTTAACAACTTGCCAAAATCTTCCAGCAAAGAGGGAGCTAAGGACCTAATATTCCTCATGGAAAAAAGCAACAGCCAGAAGAGCAATTTTCTTTCATGTACTTTTTCCTGACCGTTCATTTACAGTAAGTATATTTAAAAACGTCATCTATTATTACACATACACAGACTTTAACATGCCATTCAGACCTACGAATCTATCGAGCTCTATCGTGACCTTAGGCTCTGTACGCACAATGACTTTCAACACCTGAGTTATACTGACTTCCATAAAAATCAAGCGGCTCAGACTTGAAAATGAAATATTTTCTCTACATAAATGTTACTAAACTCACCAATGCAAAATCCGAGATGCAAATTTCACACAAAACAAAAATTCCTACACAAATTACAGAGAGCTGACGTCTAGATTGTGCCTGATTTGTAGTGACTGAATCCATTTGTAGTTTAATAGTTGGCTATTAAAAGTGGGCTGACAGTACTAATTCTGTAATATACCATATTTTGCACTGCTATACAAGACAAAATTAAGAAGTAACTGCAGTTACAGATAAGCTACAAAACAGGATTGGATATAATATGTGTTTATTTTGGAATGCAGTTTGTGCTTTTTAGCATCCAAATACTGAACACATCACAACCTGTAATTTAAAGACGACACACATCTTGTACTCTTTCTAGATAAAAGGGAATAAAATATTATCAATTTCTGATTAGCCCATACCAGATACTTTAAAACTAATGGTTTGGTTTTTAACTTGTTTTGGTTTTTAAGCCAGCTATTTTAGGAAAATGAAAAGAACAAACCAGACTCTTCTTAAAATATATATACGAAATAAACCTGCTAGTATGAGCTGGTAAAAATTGAGTTATTCCACACTGGCATGTTCAGTTGTAGAAAATGCGATGTGATGAGACTGAAGTGCAAATACAATAAACTTTGTTCCTGAAGTGAACACTCGAGATTGGAGACTTTCAAATAATTTCACGTACAGAAGTTTTGTGTTGTGCAGGAAGATAAAATAATTTTCCTCATCTGAAGTTCTGCACTGTTCCCGCACATTAAAATACTGCATTCCCCCCCCCGCTTAATTTTCAGGATCCTTGTTATATAGGAAATGAGGCACCTGACATCTTAAACATGCCTGAAATAAAAGAAGTGATTTTCTGTACTGAAGGGAAAATAACACCCTGGTACAGCACCTTGCAAGCTTAATTTCATTTCAAAGAGTACTTCTGATAATAAACCATTTTACCCAGGACAAGGAGGTAAAAATTTTAACAATTCATTATTCATGGTATCTTGTTTAAGCAAGTTTTTCAGATGTACCGTCCAACGGGTAAGGAGCAATTAAGTAAAAAAAAAAGAATTTTGCAGAGTTTCATTCTTAGTGGTAAATGTTAACAAGTGATGAGTTTCACTGTTACTAAACCAGCTATTAGTACTGATAAAATCACAAGCACATTGTGCATGCCTCCCCATCAAAGAAATAAGTACTGTTATCTCACATACGTATACTCTGTTTATCCTGGAGCTTTTTTAGCTTGTATATTTGCCTATCACTTTTTCTCCTTGGAGTACATTAGGCAAGACAGCAACAATAATGTTAGTATGAACACAGTTTAGTGACTTAGCGCACAGTGATTTAAGGGAAGAAAACTAAAAATACAAAGTTTGTTGAGCAAAGGAATGTTACATAACACATATCATGACCATGCATGGGATATAACATATTTTATTGAAAGGAGAGAAGCTTAAATGTTAAGATACCTCTCATTAAAGCCTTCCCAACACACTTTCCAACATACAATTCTATGCTTTTGAACACCAAACCATGAATACTTTCTCTGACTTGTTTTAGCCATGTACCACCCTGATCACTTAGTTTGGGACACAGCTTTCAGGAAGAGCTGAAGCTCATCCTAGCCCACATCTGTTTCTTCCTCTAGGAAGAGGAAAGTAATACATGCCTTGGTCTCAACTCAGCTCAGAGCTGGGACGTTATCAAGATGCAGTCCAAACAGGTGGGAGTTTGGAAATAAGTCTCAATCCCCCACTACAGTCTTACTGCTTCAATCCACCATATTAAAAGCTTGCTTTTACTATGTCCAGCCTCTCCAGGCCAGTGTTAACATAGGCCAGACTATAGTCCTTTTCATATAAAAAAAAAAAAAATAGTTTCCTATAAAACAAAACTGATATTCTCTACTCTGAAAGCAGATGAGAGGCATCTCATCTCACCGGTGGTACAAATGTAACTTTCACCCATGCTGCAGCACAGCATGCTTAAATTTAAAAGGTTGTTTAAAAGGTTGATGTATATCTTGGAGTAAAGCTCACAACAGGTAAATCAGCACACACAGGCTGCAGAACAGAATGGCTGGAAAACCTTCCCATGGTGTACCTAGAAACCAGATGAGAAATCTCTTAGTTGTAAACCCAAACACAAGGCATGGATCTTTCTACACGGCCTTTGCTCCTTGTAATTCCTTCCTGTGTTTCAATCTGATCCATGTGATAATTTGGACGCAACGTCAAGCTTTACAAAACTGCTTAAAAATGCAGAATCGGGATGAAAATCTAAAATGAGAGGGGCAGGGCACAGAAGGCAGTTCCACTATTTAATGAAGCCTAGCATGACTGACAGACAACCTGTACCTTGAAGGTGACAGGGAACATCGTATTCAATCTCATCGTGTCTCGATGGGCTAAGGAACAGGGTCCCGTCCACCAGCGGAAACTGTTCAAACACTGGCAGCGCCCTGTGGCATAGCGCACAGTTTACAACGTTCCTGTGGCTGGCACTAAGAGCAGCAAGGATAAACTTCCGAAGGTCCTCCCCTTGGCCCACCTGGGCATCGTCTTCCATCCGCACATGGAAAGTATTCAATTTATGCCTGGGGATGTGGGTAAGCAGCTCAGATAGATCGAGCCTTCTCAAAAACTGCACAGGGGCATCGAAGTGTCCTGATCTATGTGCTTGCAAGCCAGCTGCCCCGTAATCAAAGTGCGCGTTCCTGAACATGCCCCCGCCAGCCATGTTCTTCTTATGGGGCTCCAGGTGAATGGCGTTCTTCAAAAACTCTCCTAAGTATCGCGAGGAACGAGGGCCGCTGAAATGCGTGGGGGCAAGAATAGAGTAGCCGGTGGGTGGGGACTGGCCGGGAGAGACACAAGGTGAACGAACGGCATAGCTGCCGCCCATGACGCCCTTCTCCTGGGAGTTCTGCCTGTCCATCGAGTGCCTCCGCTGGAGGTCGTGACTCAAGCCTTTCTGCGGCTTGTTGGCTGGCCTGCCCTTTTTGGCCTCTTCTGCCGACTCCGCCATCGGCCTTCCCGTGCTCTTCTCCAACACTGATTTCTTCTTCTTATCATCCTGCATTCGCTTCACCTGGTACCAGTCAGTGTCCTTCTTTAAATGACCCTGCCCACACCGACAGGAGCAAAAGCGAAAAGCCAGGTCATATCCCTTCTTTGTCCACATGTTTTGGCGACACTGCTTTTCGTTCCAGCTCCTGGCTCTGCCAATGCAATTGAACTGGACGAGAATGCTGCTTTCCCACTCGTAGAAGCACTGAAGGTGCATCCAGGTGCTGTACGGGCAATGCTCGTTGTTGCATATAACCTTCTGGTAGTCATCCTTCTCCAGGTCCACTGGCCTTCCAAAGCTACAGATCAGTGGAGTAGCACAAGGGGCTTCTGTGGAAGATAAAACAGATACATTAATAACTTAATGGCCCACTTACTGCAATACTTCTTTAAACGCCACGCCAAATACGCATGTGAGCTCTTATTCATGAACTGTATTACCCAAGGGCCCACAAGCACTAGCTTTGGGTCAGGGCAAAAAGCAGTCTTTGCCAAAGAGAGTTAAGTATGTGAAAGGAGATACGGAAATGAAGGAATAAGGAAACAAAGTGACATTACGGTTTGTTTAATATTCAAAGCCAAAGCACCTCAGAAGCACTAGCCCTCCTCAAGCGTTTGAGGATACCATTGCAAAGCCTTTAAGAAGTAAGGAGAAAGCTTTGTGGATATTTCTGGAGGGATGCTTTGAAGCCCGAGAGGCAACATGGGGAGAACACACAGAGATGCTTGTTTGAAAAACAAGGAGGCAATACAGCCTGGCTTTGCGATCACAGGGAGAGGCAGGAATTGATCTTTTCTTTGGGACTGAGCAAGAGACAACAGCTAGGGAGAGAAGGAGGAAGCAGAGGACTTTGAAAAGCAAGATTAACAGCTTATGCTCCGAGTGCAGAAAGGAGGGCCTTCATTACATTGCTCAGGCAAATACAGACTATACCACCATCACTGACCTACTGGATCGCTAAATTTCACAAACCAAGTAGTTCTGCAACACAGACAGGTTAAAAAAACAAATGCCATGTGGTCTTTTTATCAGCGAAGTAGCAGCCTTTGCTATATCCTGAGCAAAGAACAGTTTATTTCAATTCTCTCCCTGCAACAATATCAGCTTCTACACAAAAATGTTCTACAAAAAATGTTCATTTATGGACCAGTGACATTTTTCCCTCCCTCACCGAAGTACCACGGACTACAAACTACTCCCGTTTCTGGCTGCTCAGTTGCAGCTGGGAGGCACAGAAAGGACAGGAAATTTTCAGTTCAAGTTTCTACTGGATCTTAAGAGTTTCTAATTATGAAGTTTTTAGATGCTTAGTCAAGTATTACAAATATTTCTCTTCTGTATTTCTGACTTCCCACTTCCTCCACTTCACCAAAAAGTACTGCTCCAACAGGGCTGCCAGGCTGTCTTTTAACCTCTGCATTGCTGCATTCAAATACTAGCAGGCTTCTTCAGGGTCTTCCATGGTCAGGTGCTGTCTCACACCATGCAAAACAGAGCAAACGGCTCCCTGCAGTTCCCCAGTCTCAGCCAGAGCTCCAAGACTTGCAAAAGAGGTACACCGAGCCTCGTGGAGAGAGGCTGCCGTGATGCAGGATTTTTTTCTGTAGGACTTCAAATTTCTATCTGATAAGCCAGGAAAAAACCACCACTCGGTTTCACTGCTTTTAATCCCATTCTTGTCACTACTAACACAAATAATACAACACAATTTGCAGTGGGGTGATAGGTTTTACGCCACTACATTCACTTTTACTCACACTTTCAGTAATAGACACACTACCCATCATCATCTGTCCTACAGCAGCAACACACAAACCAGATGCTTTACAACAACAGATCTTTGCCATACTTGTGGTTTTGCACCTTCCCAACAAGTTGTTGTTAAAAGGCTATGAACAAACAAACAAACAAAATCTTCAAGGTTACCTTCAGTAAATTCAAGATTACAGTGGCTCTTAAGACTTATTTACCCAGAAGACACCGCCACAAAGAGTACAAGAGAATTTTCCCGAGCCGTTCCCCAGAAGATGCCTCATCCTTCACCTCATTTGTCTGCCTCTGTTTCTAATGCCAGAAGCAGCACAGTTGCAAGGAGAATTTTCTGCAATACCTTTCCTTCAAGGACTATACTGTAAACTGCAACCAAGGCACATTGCCGAAAATGCTCTCTTAAAGAAGAAAAAAAAAAAAAAAAAAAAAAAATTTTTTTTTTAAAAAAAAGGACCTATTCAAACTTTTCAAAACTCTTCTGGGGTGAGTCATGATGGAGTGTAAAGCCTGCTGCTCAGAAGTGCCCACCTTGAAGCTCTTCCTACAGAGCACCTGAGCTGAAGCAATATACTGCTCCCTCAGCAGACGGCTAGTCTGATCCTGGGTACTTCTTTCCCTGCACCATGCTTTGAAACAGTTTTCAAAGAAGACTCAAAATATGGACTCATTCAGTCATTAAAGACAAATTACTGAATTGGAGAGAAGAGAGGTAAGAGAGGCATTCCCTCAGGACTCTTTGGAAGTTCCTTCTATACATGTGACATATTCTTACTAGTTGTCTCAGGTCCCTGAAAAGCCCATTAAGAACATGCAGGTTTTGAGATGTCTTTGAGAAGCATTAATTTTATTGGCTAATGACTAATTTTTCTCCATGTTTTTTACTGTATGATTGAGTATAACATGGCTAGCCAAGAGCAAAAGTGAATGATAACTTATCTGCTCTGAAATAAAATCTGCCAGTTTACCAGAGAGTTCTCCCACCCATTCTCCCAGACTTTGATTCAAGTCACACTATGCCACACGAAGCATCTCTGCAAAGTTTTATTTCGTTGCCAGTCATTCTTTCATTACATTTAGGGTCTGAAAGCATAGTTTGCAATTACAGCATCCTTTAGAAATCCATCTCAGAGAAGCCAGTTACACTGAAACCGTTAAAGGCAAATCATCAGCAGTCAGATGTGCAGCGAGATACCGGAGGTACCAACATGCACAGTTCTCACTTACGCATCTCCTGTATTCATCTATTTCGGTACATATTCCTTGCCACCGCTGCCAGGAGGCAGGAAGAAAGAACATGCCAAAAATCCACTTATGCTCCCCCCTGTGTTTCGGAGCGTAAATGTTCTAACAGTCACAGGTATAATTATAGCTGACAGCCGAGACAGTTACTATACAGACAAGTCTAGAGATCTCCACTTTAGAATAAAGACTTTACACTTGTTCATCCATACTGGCATAGTTAACTGACTGAAAAAGAAAAGTGTTTCCTTGATTAGCCTTTGAACATGTTCTTGGCTTTGGATGCAAAAACATATGATCTCTAGCCCCCTGAGAAGTTTACAGCCTCGTCATTATGTGGACAAAAAATGAAATTTATAAATAAGTGGCTGAAATACAGAAAAAAACCACCACAGCCTGTGTATTCCACAGAACATGTCCACAATAATTTGATTACAATCATGTACTGGGTGTCTAGAGGCTACTGTAGGTAGTGGTGGTGTGCGTGGGCTTGGTGCGCGTGGGAAAGGTGACTTTCAACAGACTTTTTTCCCCTTTTCCCTAGTTGGTGAATGGAAGGACTGTGGCATGGGATCTTCTCCAGCTTCTCCTCGAGAACTTACAGATGCCAGATTACCTGAGTAACTTCCCACACAGCATAACTATGAGAAAGAAAAAGCTTCAAGTTTTGGACAGCGATGTCTTTTTCAACATTTAGATTAACTAGATGACTACAAAATTTTCAGATGCTCCCTCATCTACTCAGCGTGAACTGGCTGGTCACACAATCACCACAGCAAAAGCAGGCCGAGGGCAGCTGGAAGAAAGCAATGGAGGGAACAAGAGCCTTCCCCCCCATACAAAAGACTCCACTGAATTGCTAAATGATGGCACTGAGATCGCTTTGGAAAACATTGCTAAGAGGAGAAGCTGGTCCCTACTCACCTCTTCTGGGAACGCACCTGACATTTCACTACTGCCATGGTAGTAGCGCAGGAAATACTACAGGAACTAGAAAACAGGTCTCTGCCATGTTGCCAGGCTCCACAGCAAGGTTAATGCCGTGCCAGTCAAAGCACCTGCTTTCACTGATACAGGCCTGTTGTTATGAAGTCTGCTGATTTGGAGAAGGCCTTGATAAAACCGCTGCAGTATTTCCACAAGAGAAACTGAAGAGCCCAGCATGGCTAATGAAAGTTGTCTCAGTAGCAAGTTCTACCACTTCTGTAGTATCCCCCTATTTAAGAAAGCAGAAAACTCCACTACCTGAAAAGCTTACAGAAACCTCAAGCCAACATTTGGTGCTGCCTAATATTTCAAATTCCAGCAGGTCTATCTGTACAAAACAGACTGTGCAGACTGAACATCCCTTGCAGACTTCCCTCCATTTATGTCTCCTGCCAAACATAATCATGCCACATGTTCCTACATAAAGAATAAATGAGAAACAGAAAACAAAGCAATTTTTTGTGCAACTTTCCTAGTTCACAGCAACAGATATGCCTTAGGAGCAAAAGAGAGAGCATTCAGATCACTTAGTATGGGAGCCACATGAGCAAATGTGAAGAGCTCTTCCCATTAATTCACACCCTTGAAAGTGCTCTGGGTTATTTAATCATCATTTTATAAACGAGACAAAGCACTTATTATAGAATTACAAAACTTTAAAAATTCTTGTTATCAAGCCCTTCTATTTCCCATTAATTAGAAATGCATTTTGAGATTGTTCTTCAAAAAGTCAGAGCTAGAATCATTGTCTTAATATTTTATGATAACAGTACAATGATTACTGTCAAGAGAGACAATGAAGGGGAGTAAATAGAAATTCACATGGCCAAACTGCCCATCCACACCTGCAGCCCCAAGCTGGTTTGTCATCTAAATATAATTTGCTTCCAAGTAGCTAATAGCTCAACAGATTTCTTGTTTCCAAAGTTATGAAATTGAACTTCAGGAAAAATGAAAGATTAGCAGGTATCAGAGCAGCATCCATTCTCCCAGCAGACCCTTCTGACAGAATGCCTAAATGACCATAAAAGTACCTTCTATTTTACCTCTCAGTTTCAAGATGATTTTCACAGCCTAAGAGAACAAGACAGCGTGCAGTTTTGTGTAGCAGAACGGCTTCGACATTTAGACATAAGCGCATGGTTGTAACAGACGGGCTGCCAAGCTGCAACTGCAATTGCACGCTCCTTCTTTCGAGAAGTTATGTTCCCACATAAAAAAAACAAATGTTTTCTCATATTCCACTGTAGTGATTTTGATCAGTAATTCTGAAAACAGGTGCAAGAGGCAGCACGTAAATGTCCTCTAAAACAGAAATAACATACAATAGTCC